GGTGTTTCGGCCTATAAAGGAGGTGTTTTAATGCTCAATATTTGTGTGCTATTTTGAAGAACTGAATTAGACTGCGCCATTGACCAACTAAAACCTGGTCTAAACTCCAGTGCGGAGCATGTTATTTATGTGCCTATGCAGGTCCAAAACACTTACACATTGCTTGATACACACAGGATGTACAGCAATACACAAATATCTTCATGGATGAATAAAAAAATAAAAGAATTAAAAAATAAAAAACAAAAATAAATTATTTCTATATAAATATAAAAACCACTGCCTCCATGCTTTTTTCATTTTATTCATGACAATTTGCATTCTTATTATAATGTTATTCTTATTAGCAGTATTATTTATTATATGTGTATTTATATATATATATATATATATATATATATATATATATATATATATATATATATATATATATATATATATTTTTTTTTTTTTAATTAATTTATTTTTTTTATTTTATTTTTTTTTAATAAAAACAAGTTTAGATTTGTCCTCCTGTCTGGTTTTGGAGATGTATGCATTACCATGGGGCATAAGAATAGGACGTGTTCGGATGTAACTCACTCACACTTTGGTATTATTGTACATTTAGTAGTTTGCTTTAAATTAGAACTGAATTTAGAAATAGTTTTGAAAAAAAACCTTTGAGCTTAACAAACAAAATTCAACATGTCAGTTAGTGGATGTCTTCATTGAAGTGTGTACAACACCGTTTCTATTAACGAAAGTAGAGTAAAAGTAAAATAAAGAGAAAGTAAAGAGGCCGAATGGAGGAGGCTTGTTCTTTATCCTCGCACTGCAGATGGTCTGTTTAACTGTTTTCTCACTAGTAAAGCATTCAGTTTTTCCTTTTACAAAGTTTGCCATTTAAACTACAAATGCACAGTGGCGTGACCCAAATAAATTTTAAAGGGAATGTGAGATAAGACTTGGTTTATATTATCCTCAAAACACACTCATAACTCATTAAGAAAATAAGCACAACCCTGTTAGACGATGCGCCAGGGCGCAAAACATATATTTCCATCCTTAAAATAGCAAAAGGGGATTCGGACATGTTCTTAATGCTTTTGCGCCATGCGCTTTAGACTTTTCGCCTAGATCATTAAAAGCAAAAATGTGAAAATATGGGTTAAAAAATTTCCCCATTGCCATTCAGCACAATGGAAATATTTACGTAAAAATGATTATGATCTGCATTTAAGATATCTAAGATAGAATAAAATAAATAAATAAACAAGCATTCATACTAAATTGTATAAATATAATTAAATTTTTATTATTATTTCAGTAATTGATTTTCAGTTACATTGTTTTTTTTTTCAGTATTCAGTGGTATAACAGACACAGAAGGGATAAAACACTATCTTTACTGTAGATATATCTGCTATTTTAAAGTGCCTTCAATCTTGCTTCATTCAGTCATATTGTTATAGAACACGATATTACTACTTGACTCCATATATAAAAGAAAAAAATATATATTTTCAAGAGCATGTTCAAACACATCCGAAATGAATAACAGCATTTGTTCTCCCATTTGAAATCAGCCCCTGATGGTTCATTTTAATTGGCAGTTGGTCACAGTGCTTTCCAAGATATCTGTCTTCCACTCGGCTCAATTATGCTGCAGTCTCAAACCTGCCAAAGACGTCTTCCTGTCGCTGTACTTTTCATTAATATAATTCACCAATGACACATTTCCTATGGTTTCTTTTTCTTTTTTTGCGTTCATTGCAAAGTTACAGGTTTCAGTGTCTCTTACCATATTGAAAGACACATTTGTACACATTTGTACATGTGTGCACCCACTCGCCTTGCCCCTTACATCTGCCTCTCCTACTGTATGCAATTTAGAATTGATTCAGAAACTGCGTTGCTTAGTTACGAGGCATTATTGCTCTTCTAAAATTGGGGGGTGGGAAGGAAACTCTCTCTCTCTCTCTCTCTCGCTCTCTCTCTCTCGCTCTCTCTCTCTCTTTCTTGTTCTCTCTCTCTCTTTGGCATGTTTCATACAGCCACATGCTCTGTAGAAGCTCGTAGCTTCTCTCTTTCCTTCTCTTTCTGCTCAGTGCCGCAGTCAAAGTGGGCCTTAAATAGGCACTCAATGCACATGATTCCCAATCCTCAAGCAAGTTCTGACGCTTGTTTTTTTCCTCCCAGTTTCCAACAAAATAAAATGTTTTAAAAATTGCTGTTTGATCGTTTCACAGCTAGCATCTATAATGCAATTTTTTTGTTAACATTTTAGTTTACTGCACACAAATGACATGTTAAGTAAAGCATAGTAGAGCACACTTTATTGTAGTAAAAGCGTAATAGTTTGAAAGGGTGAGAAACGTCTTCACCTGCAAAGGTTAAAGTTATCTTGATAATTAATAAAGTTATATTAATTAGATTAGATTATAATTAGATGATAAAAATAGTCACATTTACACAGTAAAACCACAAAACAACACATTTGTACAGAGAAAATGTTTTCCTCTTTTTAAATTGTATCTATATAAATTAGAGCTGGGCGAATAATTGAAAAGTGATCGAAATCAACATTCAGAACCTACAGTATATATTTTTTTTCGGTCAAATTTTTTCAGGTAAATTGTCTTTCAGGTAAATTACTTTCCCTACTGTGTGTGAGGTCAGGTGACTTTGTTAAGGTTGATTTAAACTTCTGCGTTGAATGCACGGGTGTGGTCCGGTGCTACCTTTGCATGGTCGCATATCTGCGCACCCCTCAAAAAATTAAACTACACATCACACGTTTGCATTAAATTAGAAATTATTGAAGCTGCACCAGAGATGCCTTGAGATGGCATATTTTTTCATTACAATAAAATTATTATTTACATTCAAATATTTGAAGATTCAAGTAATATTAAATGCTAGTTATTCATTTTCAGACCATTCAGACCATATGTCTAAAATATTCTAAATATTGTTTTTTACTGTTGTTATAGTTAGCATGACATTTCCACTTTTGATAAAAAAAATAAAATAAAATAAATAAACATATACAACACTAATGCACATCAGTAACTCGCCAGTAACTTTTTTATTCATGTCCTTGTAAGAAAACATCATAAATGATTGGAAATCTGGTGACTACAATATCAAAAGCCTTGGGAACAACTTTGTTCAAAACCAAAGTTCACAGGACTGTTCTCTGGAATCCTCTTAAGCGGTGGACTTTTTATTTATTTTTTTATTATGCTTTAAACAACACATACATGGCAATATAGTAAACAATAATGCCAGGGTGATAATAGGTAAAAAATAATATTTTTGATATGACCGCATCATAGCTCATTACCATAAAGTTGACTGGATTTCAATTCTCCTCAACTCTACTCTCTATTTTCGCCACTCGTCGCTGCTTATCACTGCCGGCTCCCATTGAAAATGAATGATGCCGGCTACTTTGACCCTCTCGCCACCTTTGGTGTGAATGCACAGTATTACAGTTAAAATCAAGATTTTAATTATAGGCCAAATCGCCCAGCCCTAATATAAACACAATTTTACAGTATATAAGCATATAAGTTTCAGACGGTATAATAACCTTGGATTAAAAAAGAAAAAAAAAAACAGTATCACAGTATTGTTATTACTGCTTTAAAATATATTCTTTTTAAATGTCTGGGTAAAAAAAAAAAAAAAAAAAAAAAAAAAAAAAACCTTTGTCCCCCTTTAAACACAATATATTTAATCTTTTTGTAAAAAGTTTTATATTTTGGGACAGTAAACATGTCAGGCTAAGTAATTCAAATGAATCATTGACTTCTGCTGTTTCATTAGTTTAAAAAACACAGATTTCATTATACATTTTAAAATTAAATAATCGAATACCTTTTCTGCTGAAGATACCGTTGTCCTAAAAAAAACTAAAAGTAAAAAAAATACTTACACATTACACTTACAAATAAAAATACTCTTACACATAACTTAGGAACGGTTTTACAGAACATTTTGGCAGTTTTAAAACCTTGACTTTTCCAAACCGCTGTATACCTAGAAAACGATTATCGTCACTAACTGGGATACAAGTGTAAAGTGCTTAAAAGACATAATGCTTCTTATTGTTATGGGGTAAATAATATTACAATTGTGGGCTGTAAATGAAAGTCATGCTTGTCACAAATTTTTAACTCAAAGTAGCTTTACAGATTTTAAAAACATACAGTATGTATAAACCACTCCATCTGGGACTTTTGATTTCCAGATATATGTGTCTGCAGACCATACAAATCTTTTTATAGTGCGCATTAACCTAATAAAAGATGTATGATGGTGTATGTAACACATACCGAAGCGTCTCTCTCAGCGCCTCAGTCTTCCTTTACCTGCTCCTGACTGCTGCCTCAGCTCCTTCCTGAGAACGAACGCGCTCACGAGCGAGAGCAAGAGAGAGAGAGGACTAATGAGGGAGAGAGGGGGTGTGTGAGAGGGAAAAGATGCTGAATCCTGGTTGGCTGGAGAGTAGAGGCTGACTCAGTGGATCTGGAAGAGCAGCGTGTGACAGATGCAATTCTCATCCCAGTCCTCGCCATCAGACCAGAGGCTTGTTCGCCATTGGCCCCGTTCATTGGAGCGCTGCGCTATAACACCATGCTTTCCTCTGCCAGACCCAGCGGAGCTCTCTCACTAGCGCGTATCACTTGCGCAACGAGCAGCCCAGACACACTTCAGCCCAGCGCAGAGAGCCGAGACTGAGCAAGAGGAAAGAGCTGCTCCGCACGGAAGGTGAGAGAACGGGAAAAACACACTGCTGGGGGATACCAGAACACGTCAGAGAGAGCTGCAAAAAGTGACAACAGCAGAGCCAGCTACAAGGTTTGAGGATTCGAGAGGATGAGGGAACACGCTTGCTCTGTTCCTGACTGAAAGGAAGTGAGCTTGTGTCTGAAAGCGAGAAACAAAAGGTTTGTTGGGTGGACTTGTTTCCTTCTCTCTCTCGGCTAGTGCATGGAAGCTTCGGGTCCCCCATGGCGTGTTATTATATTGTCATCAGCTCCACGCATCTCAGCAATGGACACTTTCGAAACATCAAGGGAGTTTTCCGAGGTCCCCTCTGCAAGAATGGCAGCAAAAACTTGGTAAGTACTCTGTCTTTTTTTATGAATGTGTGCTTGGTCATGTGCTTTGCTTTCGTGGTGTTCCCTCTTGAAACTTTGGTAACACTTTATTTTGATGGTCCACTTGAGTATAAGCAGACTGTCTGCTTAATTTCTGTTGATTCAGACATATAACAGACATTTAACTGACTATAAGAAACTTACCAAGTACAATTAACACTAACCCTACAGTCTACTTATAATCTAATGAGAATTAGTTGACATGTAGATGCACTGTAACTTAAATTCAACAAACAGACCATCAAAATAAAGTGACTAAAACAGCACTCTGTACGGTATACATGAGACCGTGAATTACTATACAGCATAGAAAACTTGGTTCAACTCCTAAAAGGATAGTTTTGTTGGTCTGTATCATTGTATTTATCTGGATTTGGGGATGTTAAACGCTATTTTTGAGTTGAATGAAACCAGATTTTCAATGTTTGATACATCAAATTGTTTTTATAATGACAGATTATTAGTTTTACAGGAACGCTGTGAATATCGTTGCTTCAGGAATCATATGATGTTCAGCACTTCCTGTTTACAAGGAAAGTTGCAGTTGGAAAAAGTGAGTCCGGGCTCTAGTCTATGACCATAACTAAATTCCTAACAGATGGACGGGGATCAAATTAATCTCTACTCACAGTCACGGCCTGGGATTTAGTCTAACCATACTTTTCTGGCCTTGCCCTCTAAATAATCCCTGTTTTTGCTTGCGCAAAACTGCCTCACAAAGTCTCTGCTATAAACCCGGCATATCTGGGGCAGCACAAAGGGGAATTTTAAAATAGAATCAGCGTTAGTAAAATATTATTTTTCATAATTACTCTAAGAGCCTCCTGAAGATTGTTTTTCAATTCGTCGGGCGAGTTAAGCGGGATTATAAATACAAAGTAATACGAGGAATGATGCAGCCGTACAGTGTAATTTAATTAAAGCGCTCGGCTGCTAAAAGGAAGCATCTTTTCAAAGCTTTTAAATGCGCAAGTGGAAATTTCACACTGCCTTCCTTCTCAAGCTTTCCCGTGTCATCTCTGCCAGTTGGGGGGAACAGAGATTTCTTGACAGCAGCCTCCTCCTTTCAAAAGAATCAAAAATGATTGGAGATGAAATATTGAAGCTCTTGGCTCGGGATCAAGCGCCGATGCTGCTCATCTGCCTCCCGCCTCCAGCTGAAAGGCTAATGCTGAGGGAACGTTCGGGTGGCGTAACTGCGAATGCAGCAACAGATTGTTTCGCAAAGTAAAAATGAGGTTTCGATGGCAGTCATTGACTTAATCTCAATGCAATTATCAGATTCGACACAAATCCCAGTCTGTTGCGGGGTGAACCTGCTGTCGCTGCATGTAAAATTACGGCGGAGCGCTGTGTGCATCACCGCTCTGTAACACACAGTAAATTCGGTTCATTACTCCCGCCGCTGCATAGAGCAGCTGTAAATCTCATATACTCGTGCACACACGCACTCACTCTCTCAGATGTATGGCTATGAAAGGCAGACTAAGAAAGCTGTGCTTATCCCAGCGCTGGTGCAGTGCCATCTGGCTCCCGATCCTGGTGCAGTGATATTTTAGTCCAGAAGAAAAGCTTTGTGCTGTAGAACATTTGTTCAGCCGAGGAAGGGAGAGGAGGAAGGATAATAACGATGTCGCTCTGAGAGTGTGAGGGCTCCTGTAGTCACACTTACGCTACGGTGGACTTTTTTGCAGAGCCACTCAGTGAAATCCATCTTTGTAATTTGAGGCGCTTGTTCTCCCGGCTTTCTCTGCACATCTGAGGGCTCGGTTCAGATGAAAGAGTTTACTTGTTGATAATGTGGTAAACAAAGTTGTACAGAAAGGAAATGGAAAACAAGACAAGTCGTGTGTGTCTCTGTTGAATGACCCTGAACGTGGACTTTACTGGCCCTTACTGGTTTGTTTATAACATTAGAAAATTGCATAATAGAGTTTTAATGCTGCTTAACGACTTGAAACAGTTGTTCCTTGTTATCATTTATTCACTTTAATCATTACTTTGTGTTAATGTTGTTGTTGTTGTTGTTGTTGTTGTTGTTGTTGTTGTTGATTATTACTATTATTATTATTATTATTATTATTATTATTATTATTATTATTATTATTATGCCATCATTCCATTTATTATTACCAATTTACAATGTGTATTAACAAAACAATATATATATAATTAAATTACAGTATTTTTGTATATTGTTATTATTATTATTATTATTATTATTATTATTATTAATATTAATATTACTTTGCTAATGTTCAGTTTATTATTACAATTTACAATGTGTATAAATAAAATAATTATAATAAAATTACAGTATTTTTGTATATTATTATTATTGTTATTATTAATATTATTATTACTTTGCAATGTTCAGTTCATAATTACCAATTTACAATGTGAATAAATAAAATAATTATAATTAAATTACAGTATTTTTTGTTTTATTATTATTATTATTATTATTATTATTATTATTATTATTTTGCCTTCATTGAGGGCACTATTATCTATTTAAAATGTGTATAAGTAAAACAATTAAAATAAAATGACGCTCACTTTTGTTATTAATATTATTAGTACATTTAAAAAGCCATTTTTATGAATTTGTGAATGCATACAATATTATTTATTTATTATTTTGCTTCACTTTTAGTGTTGTTTATTTATTTATTTATTTTTGTATCTGTGTGGTCATTGTAATAATAAGCTTTGCTTCATTTTGCTTTTTGTTTTACTTGTTCAAATGTATTTTGTGATTTAGCTTTGTATAGCTCTTTGCTTTTGTAACCCAGGTGCCATACGGCAGTAAAAACCTTATCCTACTGAATGAATTCAGCTGAATGAGTACCTGTTTGGAGTTCTGCCATGTCACTGTACACCTATAAAGTCAGACAATGAACGAGCACCAGAGCCTGAGCAGAATTTTGCTCCTTGCTTTAGCGACCATGAATATTCATATCAACGAGGTTATTTCAACGCTCATATTGATTTCTTCACAGTCGCTGCTAAGTCAGCCCGTCTCCCCGCTGAGCCGTGATGTGAGCATCCATTTCCACTCAGTGATGCCCCTTTCAATATTCTCATTACACCAAATATCTACACAGCACATACACAGTCACACTGCCTCTATTGGCAGACACATGACACCACAAATAGATAATAAAATCAGGATTATCTATAGCTCACCCTGCACCACAAAACCATTCATTAAGATATTTTTCTGTGAGGGTGGGGCAGGGGGATACATGAACGAATAAGCTATTGCTGTAGAGAAGAGATGCCCAAACTAGGGTCAAAGTTGGTCAGCGGTAACCTTTGATTTGGCTCGCCATCCAATTCAAGTAGAGATGGAGAATAAAGGGGATGGTTTAGAGATTGTCAATTCAAATTGAATGTAATCCTTTGTTTGTTTGTTTGTTTGTTTGATTGTTTGTTTTATTGTTAAAAGTGAAATGAAATTGATTGTTTCATTTAAATTGTGTAAATTAATCAGATTTTGTTTAAATATACATACTGTTACCTGACAATGCAAGACTTTGATGAGCAAATCAAGTCAAAGGCAGATTCTGCTTGACCTGTGTATTCAGCATTGAACTCCACTGTGTTATAAATGTGATTGTTTATGTTTTTTTTTATTGCCAAACGTTATAATTTGAAAAGTTATGCTGCTTTATATAATACAATTTAAGGTAATATTTTCTGTTTATTTTGAAATTTTCTGAAATAAACTAGGAAATTACCCATTGCAACTTTGATGTAAAATAGTTTGGATAATTTAATTTTGGCCCGAGGCCCTCAATGATATTTGGTTTTTGGCCCTTCATACAAAAAAGTTTGGGCACCTCTGATCTAGAAAATTGGACTTGTTAGGATTGGACAATATTTGGTCAACTATTTGAAAATTTGAGGATTCAAAACATAAATATTGAGTAAATCACCTTTAAAGTTTGTCCAAAGAAAGTTCTTAGCAATGCGTATCAATAATACAAAGTTATGTAATTATAATTTATGGTAGGACAATTGAAATGTGTCTTCATGGAACATGATTTAATGCAATGATTTTTGCATAACAGTAAAGTCGTTAATTTGACTCTAATATACTTCTGCAGCTTAAAGGGATAGTTCACCCAAAAAAGAAAATTACCTCATCATTTTTTTAACACAATGCTGGTACTGGAACCCATTGACTGATTTCTAGTAAGAAAATAAAAACGGAAGTCAATGGGTCTCAGAAGTCAATGTGGCGAGGCATAAGTAATTAAAGAAGTACATACCTAAACGACTATGCCACCCGGTTACGCCAGAAACAATAATATTAAATAGCCACCTAGGAGGGGTGACGAGGTGGCGCAATGAGTAGAGCTGTCGTCTCACAGCTAGAAGGTCGCTGGTTCAAACCTCGGCTGGGTCAGTTGGCATTTCTGTGTGGAGTTTGAATGTTCTCCCCGTGCTCGCGGGGGTCGCGTAAAACAAATGCTGGATAAGTTGGCGGTTCATTCCTCTGTGGTGACCCCAGAATAATAAAGGGACAAGCTGAAAAGAAAATGAATAAATGAATTGGCACCTAGGCTCATAGTAAAAGCAGAGTGAGCATGGAGACGTAAACAAGAAAAAAAAAATCACTTTATTGAAATACAAAAAATAAACTGTACAAAATCTATTTCTTTTGCATGGGATAACATCTAAATGCAAAATTTACAAAAAAAAAAAAAAAAAATAGACAACAATAATCCAGAAAAATAAAGCAGAGTACCAGCAGAGTTTGCAAGTGTAACCACAATAAACACAATAAATACCTTGTGAATACACAGCAAACGTATTCCACACAGTAAAATCTATTTAGCACAACACTCAGTATACACACACACACACACACACAACTGCAATACACCCACCTGGGTCCCCCCATAAAAAACAACTATGTTTTAAAAAAAGTGTATAAAAACATAAATACAAAA